ACGCATTACATGCAAAGCGAGATATGTCAAGCCTTACTTTGGTATAATTGTGATGATTAAAACATCAAGTAAATAAAAGCTAAAAGCAAACAGAAACACCAAAAGAGTACATGGTACACATATTCCATACCAAACTACTGTTGGGGACAGACCACTTCATGTTACCCCCATGGCTTGGTGAAAGAGTCAGGTTTTGAATGGCTCTCTGGAAGCCCTGGAGGATGAAAAACGAATATTTTTTTTCCAAAAAGAACGCTACCCAAAGGCAACAGAATTTAAATATATATGAATTCTTGGAATTGCTTTCCTGACAGTGTTTTTTAAAAATGTTTTCCCCATTTTCAGATTCAGTATTAATGCTTTAGAACATATCTTGCAATGAGGTTATAAAATGAGGTCACTGAAGAAAAAATGGACCTGTGCCATCTTGTGGAGTTTACTGTCATGCTTTGCTATCAAAACATTGTCATAATAAAACTTTTGAATATTTCTGGGCAGTACAAATATATCAGTAGTACATTATATACTGAATATTATATAAACAAAATTTGCAATTGTTTGTTCAGCAACCACCATCCCTCAAGAATAATCAGTGGTTATTTTAATGCTGTAAACCATTGTTTCTGGAGTTTTAATTACTTACATAATGAGTATTATGTTTTCCAGATTTGCTGGTGCAATACATTTCAGGTCTTCAAAACCACGAGGAAATGATTCGCTGTGGTTTTTCACTAGCCTTGGGTGCCCTTCCGAAGTTTCTTCTAAAAGGCAAACTCCAGGAGGTGAGCTAGGATGCAGGCTAGAATATTTAATAAAAATGTTCAAGTATTTAAAAATGTATTTTAATGGTACATGATTGGTTCGTTAAACATAAAATAGATAATATTGTCTTCAGTGTTTGATTTCTATAATCAAATTTCTGCTACTTTTTCTTTGGTCTCCATTGGCAATTAAGACTAACAATGAAATCTCAACAACTCCTCACTTTTACATCTGGATATCTAGAAATCACTTATTTATTTATTAGATTTATATGGCCACCCAATTTGGGCAACTGACAATTTGAAGAAACATGAAAGCAAGGAATATAAAATAAAATAAAATAAACCTTCATAACATAAAATACAACAGGATAACTGAATAACAAAAATAACAGTAATAACAGAAGCAACCAAGGCTAACCAACACATATCTCATTCAAGGGTCTTACATTCTCT